TCTGACCGATGGTATTGTTTTCGATGGCCTCTGGGATGTCTACAACAAGTTCCATATGGGCAACTGTGCCGAGAACACAGCAAAGAAGATGCAGATCACTCGCAAGGATCAGGACGAATTCGCCATCGAATCCTACAAGCGATCGGCCAAGGCCTGGAGCGACAACGTCTTTGCCAATGAGATTGCTCCCGTCAAGATTCAGGTAAAACGCAAACCCGAACAGGTGATCGCCGAGGATGAGGAGTACAAGCGCGTCAACTTTGATAAGTTTGGCCAGCTGTCGACCGTGTTCCAGCGTGAGAACGGAACCGTTACCGCTGGCAATGCATCGACGCTAAACGATGGCGGTGCTGCTGTTGTCCTCATGACCGCCGAGGCGGCCCAACGTGCCGGTGTAAAGCCGCTGGCGCGCGTTGTCTCCTTCCAGGATGCCGAAACTGATCCCATTGACTTTCCCATTGCACCGGCATTTGCTGTGCCCAAGCTGCTGGAGCGAGCTGGCGTTCGTAAAGAGGATGTTGCCATGTGGGAAATCAACGAGGCCTTCTCTCTGGTCGTCGTGGCCAACATGCGCAAAATGGACCTCGACCCCGCCAAGGTCAATGTCCATGGAGGAGCCGTCTCTTTGGGACATCCGATTGGCATGTCCGGTGCTCGCCTGATCACTCACCTGGCGCACGCCCTAAAAACCGGAGAGCTGGGCTGCGCCTCCATTTGCAATGGTGGCGGCGGCGCCTCCTCCATTCTGCTGCAGAAGCTTTAAAGCTACGGCAACAGCTATCAATCGGTTAAAGCCAGAATTGCATTTATTGAAATTGAAGATGACGATTGCAGTCATCAACTATTTTAAACGGTTTTCAACTCATCTTTTTATGTATTTTTTTGTATAGCATTTAATAAGAAAAAACTTTGTGATTTGCATAATAAATCGAAACGAGAATGGCCTTAAATCAAATGCTTCGCAATTTTTCGCTAACTCACGTTCATTATGGACTTCGAACTTTCGAAATAGAAAACAATTGTAATCGTAATTTGCCTGCAGGAGCATAATCGTTTGATGTTTCCTGCAGATTATTTGAAATGTTATCGGAATTGATATAGTGCTGTAAAAGACATATATTTTTGTTTTGTTTTCTTAGTTTTTACTCGTTATTCCAATGCATTATAGCGATATTTGCGTTATCGTTATGGAACCATTTTGTATTGTTGGAGCGCTTTACTTGCAATTATTGAACATCGGCAACTATTGGAAATACGACACGATCGTCACGAGGACATAGCTGGACCATCTGCCCGGCTCAGTAGTTGATTAAGTCCACCGACTGGATGGCCGTAACCAGTTCATCCAGACAGTGTACCAGATGGCTAGCTGTTGCTCCAGCACATGTTGGGCAACATGTAATATGCACCCGTCTTATGGGCGCGTTCGTGTTGAGCAGCTGATGGCTCCAGCAATACTCAAACACGGCCTGCAATGGGATCAGGGCATCGTTCTGCTGCCGAAACATGTATGTATATCAATGTCCTTGGCAAATGAGAAGCATATGTATGTATATTCTCTATTAATTGCAGAACACGAAACAATATAGCTAGAAGAAATACGAAACAAATTCTGGGACGACGGCACGAGATGATTAGCATAGAGGATGGTGGCCACAAATTGATTGAATAAGGCGCAACAGATGTAGACAATAACTGTTTGTGTTCAAGACTAGCAATAGCTATCAAATCAATATTTGTCTGTTCCACTTTCTGTTGGATTGAAGGGCATTTGTTTGAGTGCAACATAGAAGGCAACATATTCCAATATATTTTGAAGATTACTCAGTAAATATTGTAAATATAGTATTGTGCAGACTATTGTATTTGTTGTACTCTATCATTATGAGCTGACAGGCTATTATACCACGTAAATGTTGTGGAATGGTAATTGAACTAAACTAAAATAAGACTTTATAGCCACCTATTTATTTAAATTTCACAAGCAGTCAACGGCTAGTTTTAGCATCGATACATTGGAGTGCACGCAAAGTATCGCTTCACTATTTTATCCGCTCAAATAGCAATCGCAGAAACAGCTGATTGTGCGTAGTGTTGCTTGTTAGTCTATCGATGTCTATCGATTAGTTGTGAACATCCCTAGAATGCGCGAGTTGAGACCAACAAAAAAAATAACGCTGCTTTTGGAGACAGATCGAACGGCGGTGTACAAGCGCGGACCGCAACGCATCCAAAGCCAACAACAACTGAAATAAACAATCATCGTAATAGTGTGCTTGCCCAAAAATAAAAAGCGCGTCGAGTGCAACGGTGTCACTAAAACAGACTGTTAACTTCAGTGCAAGCAAACAACCCCCGCGTCGGGCAACCATTATAAATTATACTAAAAAAAGCAGTTGTGTTCTTACCAGCGGTGGTTGTGATGCTGGACGCAGACCAGCAATGCAGCAGCTCTAACAAAATCAAATTTAACCGTTTTCGTAGAGTTTTTTGCGCGTAAAATTGATTGGAGAAAACCTACTTAGTGTGCAGCATAAAATTGAAAGAGCAAAACGTAAGTGCACTCTGGCGGTCATATATAATCTATGCGTGCATGTATTGTATAAGTGTAAAAGAACAGTTATATGTTTAAAGTTCATTTGAATGTGCGTTGCACTATTTGCTGGCCATAGCTGTACATTGTGTGTGAGCGAGCGTAAGAGTTTGTCATGCATATACGGTTTTTGTCTCTCTCCCTCTCTCTCTTTCTCTCACTATATGTGTGTGTGTGTGTATGCAGCTGGCCATTCGTATGGCTGCTGCGCTCCGCCTAGCTCTAGCAGTGCGTGCGTTAGCCTATAACTGTGTGTCAGTGAGTGTCTGTGGGTTTGTAAGTGCACAATAAGCCAAACGACAACAACCCATAATTATTGTAAATTGTTAAATTAAATATTTAGTAAGCAGCAGTCGCTAATAAATCTATTGTTTTGCTCTCTTCAACTGGCCATTTGGTTTCGGTGGTGTCCTTGACATGATTACGTTTTCCGTTACGCTTTTGTACTTTAAGCAAGGGGGCCGTTCGTTTCTCATTGCGTATGTGTCTATAGGAGTCTGTGTGTGTGCGTGTGTATGTCTATCGATTACTGCCTGCTGGTCCTGTTTGGCTTTCTCACTCGCACGTGCACGTGAGCTGCCTCACTTTCTCTCTCTCTCTTTCTTGCCCAAAAAGGGGTGGCAAAATTATGTTAATGTTTTTGTATACTATTTTTTTTTTTTTTTTTTTGGTTCGTCTGTTGTCATGGAACATGTGAATTGTTGTTATTTTTTTTGTTGCTTGGTCTTATCATTATGTTCTCACACACACGTTCCACGGTCCGCAGCTGATAACCCACCGCAAGTGTAGATGCAGCTAAAGTCGGATGGGGAGTGCGGTTTATTTTCCCTCTTCTTCTTCTCTTTTACTTGTAAATTGTCACCCGTTCGCTCTCTACTGATTTCACGCTCGCTCCACGAGTATTTATAGCCGCCAAAGTTCAAGTGCAGCGTCTATCGCTGTGGGAGCCACAGCTGTGTCCCAGTTGGTGGTGCTCCGTTTTGTGGCATTATCTCAGCGTCTATAAATGTTAGGCGGGGATTTTTTTTCTCCAATTTTTCCTGAACTTTGACTCGGAATGAAACGAAAAACTGCGAGCGCTAGATCATCCCACGTAACGCAAGCTCAAAAAAATAAAATAATACAGTATGCATACGCTATGTTCAACTAACAATAGAGTGGATCGAATTAAGTACTATGTATTAGTTTTCCCTTGCTTGATTCCCTCGGTTGCTCCATTTTATGTATTTGCAATCAATATTTGTTTTTCATTAACTTCTAATCTTCTAACGCTCTGTATGCCCGAGCTGTTCAGCATCTCCCTGCACTGCGTGCCTCTCGAGGCTGCGCTCTCCATACAAAATATACGGGCTATTATTGGAGGCGTTGCGTAATTGCCTTAGAGTAGCTACATTCATATATATTTATTTACACATATGTGTATATATACATACACATGTACATGTATGTGCTTTAAGTTTTTGGAACTATGTAAGTTATTAGAAAACCTACCCAATACACCCTATACCATATCTGCCTAGCAAGTGTAGCTGTAATCCAAAGTCTAGAAGTCTTATATAAGAAATTCCCGATTTAGCAATGAAACTTAGCAAATTGAACTTTTGTATAGCTTCGAGTCCCTGTCTAACTAATAGAAATCCTCATCTATCCTAGACTCCATCATTTCTTCACCATCTTCTACCACTTTAAACTAATTTTGCAATAGAAAATAATCCTAAGGAGCTAAAGGTAGCGTATATAGCTCGTGCTAAAGCAATTCGATCTGTAACTCTCCAATTGTGGCCTTCCTCCTATAGTGGAACTATCTTGATGAAACTACACTTTCCTCTTTCTGAATTGTATAGTATTTGATGTTGATTGGTTATCCCTTTTCCTCCTTCGCCTTCTTTGAAAACGATTCTATCCTTTCAGTCCACAGTTTATACTGTTCCTTTGTTTCAGATGAATCAGTGAAATCAGTGGAATTATGAAATGGGGCTTTGGTAAAATGAATGCTAGGTGTTTCTTACTCCCATATTCCCTCCCTTTTCTCCGTCTCTTTTCTAGCTCTAGCTCGCTCTTGTGTGGCTCAGCCTGAGGGTGGGGTGTATCCATCGAAATGAAATATACTTCGAACCATGTTTTTGGTGAGGCAACCTGCGATTCCAGCGAAGCTCCAACCCGTCCTCTGCCCCCTGTGCCCTGTTGCCATGATCTACATCGCCCCTAGTGGCACTTGTTGCACATCGAGTCATAACATGTTCGAGCAGGCAAGCCCTGGGATTGACTCATTTCACATTTGTGCCCGCATTGTTTGTGTTTGTGCTGCGATAAGGGCTTATCAGTGCACAGCATGGAGCGAGGCTTAGGTCTGAACCGCACTAACGATATATAAATATATATATGTACGTGTGCGTATGGATATGTGTGTGTACCTGACGTTAGCCGCCGCTGCTACTACCTGCCGCCGAGCTAAATGTCAAAGTCTTTGACTGTGCCAAGTCAGTCAGTTGATGTGTGCCCTCGTAGTCAGTTCGATAAATTCTATATTTGTATATATACATATATAAATCCATAATTAGTTTATTATATACTTGTGCATATGTATATATATTTATGTATATATATATATGCGCTTATACAGTGGTGTACATGTGTAACGTTAGAGACGCGTGTATATATGTGTGAATTATATGTATATATATAGATACATCTATGTATATTTTGTATCCAATACCTCAAGACATCCAATTCAATCAAAAGTCAGTCCAGAAGACGAGCACACACACACACACCCACACTAACACATCTGTGTCTGTTTGTGTATATGTGAGTGTCTAAGGTGAACGCGGAAGTGCTTCAAGCTGCTTGCATTTCACGCTGCACTGGGTATGTATAAGCCGCGAATCCCCGTCCTAGTCACGTCTCTCTCTCGCTCTCTCTCTCTCTCTCTCTCTCTTGACCAGGCCAACAGGCAACAGTTAACGCCCAGCCACTAATTAGCAGTGAGCACGCCAATTGATGGGCTGCCCAGCAATTGAATTGGCAACGAGCTGGCTGACGTCTAAGCCTGGCCAGAACCAGCACACCAGCCCACCATCCCACCAGCCCATCAGCCCAATAGATGGCCAGCTTCTCAGTATGCGCGTCGCATGCGTTGGGCATAACATTCGAATAACATGACAGGCGTTACAAATGGACAGCAGCGACACACGGACAGATAAACGGACAGCCGGACGGGCGCATAGACACCCTATATATAGATTGATACGCCCACCAGCCCATGTTAGCCAAAAGCCAGCCAGAGAATTTGCCCAAAACTAGTTGTCGTTGATCGGCATAACTTACACACTCTCTCTCTCCCTCTATCTCTCTTCCTTTCTCGCTCGCCGTGTTTCACATTTTGGCCATATCTTGAAAGCCTAGAACCAGGTTGTACTCCCCGCTGTTGCTAGACGACGTTGATTAATGACCTGACTTGCAAACTGTCGACCAAAAAACAAATTACAATTTTATTCAAATTTCTAGTCGAGTTGAAATTGATGGGCTGTCGCGATCAAATACCCTGTTAAAAGCTCGGCTTGGCTTTCAGCTTTTAAGTATAAGAATAGAAGATAAACATATTATAAATATATCATACAACTCTATAAATAGATAGATATAGACATACCTATGACATACCATACATTCACGACAAACAATATGCTTCGATTGAGCCTCTGCTCAATTACAGGGTATCTGCTTGAGATATGAGCAAATGCTAAAAACATTTAAATCAATCCAAATTAATTTCAACATAATAATATATATGTTTCTTTTTCCCTCTCTCTCTCTCTCTTTACAGCGCACCGTCTCGATTTAGATATATATCTCGTAGATATATTGCCAGCTCCATATACATGAATGTATAGCAACAAACATCCATAATACCCAATTATATATGTATATACATATATATAAATATATATTTTGTACGATTCGGCAATACCAAAGTTTAACATAAATAGAACAAGAGGAATAATAATAATAATAATAATAAGAAGAAGAAGAAGAAGCAGCAACAATAACGGCGGCTGCATCAGAATCAAGAAATAGCTAAAGACGACGAGCTTAGGAATATAATTTTTTGTTGTGGAAATATTCGGCATTTTGTTGTTGCAATTGGTTAAAAAGCAGAAGGAGAGAAAGAAGAAGAAAATAATTGGAAAACCTTGCTTTTTTTTCCATATATTTTGTGTTTTGTTTTTGGCAACGTTTTGTTCTCTCTCTTTTTTTTTTTTTTTTCTTTCGGCTCAAAACGCGAACTGTGCAAATACCGTGTTGTATTCCAGTTAATCAAATCGACTCGCATTACATCGAATCGCGATTACAGCTGAGCATTCACAATAGCCAATAGTGTAAGCAACAACAGCAACAACAACAACAATAATCATTTACAATGTTCAGTCCGGAGTTTGAGAAACGCATCCTGAAGCACTGCAGTCCCGTGGCTAGAAATCTATTCGACAATCTGGAAGCGTCCACAACGCCAACATCGTTGGATCGTTTCATACCCTGCAGGTGAGTGAACCCTTGCGCCAAGCCGTTAGTTTTTCTGCTACGTCACCTTTTCCGCTCACTCGCGAACAGCAACAGCAACAGCAACAACAACAACAGCCAGAAGAACAATAACCATAAACAACAACATCGTGTGTTGTTTCCCGCATTTTCCGCCTGGCTGCAACTCGTTGAGCTAACGGAACTGCAAGCAGCGCCAACACCCAAACATGAGACTGTCTGTCCAGCAGTGAAGACTCGCCTGCCTATCCCCCGTCCCCCCATTGCCTACCTGCCTGGCCCCCACCTGTTGCTAATGAGCTTGCCTCACACAGACAGCCGTCATACACACACATACACACACACACACACAGATAGATGGTTATCATTAGTATCTGTGCGTTGTTAAACACTTCCGCATCTTTCAGTTCGTCTCTTTTCCCCAGCTCACCTACATTTTGTGTCTTATTCAATTGTTTAACTTTTTTCCCACATCTCGGAGATTTCAATATACTTTAATCAAATTTATAAAGAGTTTGCTTTTAATACTTATTAAACTACATAGATGTTTGGCATCTAACTATTTGATAGTTTTGATTAGCCTCTATGGTACTTCATATAACCTTCATAGAGCTTCCGCTTACACTCGATTTCCTTTTCCGTTTCATTTTGTTGTTGATTATCGCTTTGGTAACATTTAACAGTAACTAAGTAAAGCTATTAACAGTATCTAGTAAAAGTTGCTGTGCCAATTCATATACCCAAATATTCAAATATTATCTATTATACAATAGTAACATAATTTTGATGATCCCGAAATTGAAGAATTTTAACAGCTAATAGATAATGTATCGATTCAATTCAAAATCGTTTACATTCTGTTACCTCTAAGCAATTTATTTTCCTGCTGTCTTTTCATATCTGTCTCTATCTTTGATTTTCTCTCTTAACAGTCGATGTATGAATAATTATCACTCACTGTTAACTCACTGTTAACATCTGCTGTTAAGCTAAACAGCTGTGGTTTTAACTTTCTCCCTGTCCCCTCTCTCTCTCTCTCTCTCTTTCTTGCTGTTTATCTCTTTCATTCCCTTTCGATCTCTTTATTTTTCTACGTCTTTCTCCTCTGTTTTTTCCATCTATCTCTCATTCCCCTGTCTCTCTCTTTTTCTTTTTCTCTCTCTCTCACTCAAACCCTCTTTTTTTTCGTTCTCTCTCTGTTTTTCTTTACTCTCTCTCTCTCTCTCTCTTTCTATCTCTCTCCCTCTCTCTCTATCTCTCCCTCTCTCTTTGTCTCTGCTATTACCTGTTGCTGCCTTTGATTGAATTGTCCGTGTCCCTTGCAACTGTGTGTCCCTGCCCTTGCCCCAGTCCCCGCCCCCTCTTTCGCCCTTGCAGTCAGTCACCTTGCAAATTTGCTTATGAAATTAATTTATTGTAGGTGGAAGTAAATGCTTCAAATGCGTTTGCCAGATGAGCACTCAAGGGGGAGCGGGGGCGAGGAGGGGTTTAGGTGTAAAGCGGCAAAAGACGCAAGTTGCATTAATAAACAGTTTGTTGTGCGAGCCTCTCTGTGTGTGTGTGTGCAATGCAATTCAATAGCCCTCTTCCTGTGTGTAGCCCCCTCTAATAAATAAAATTTGTTTTTTTTTTTTTTTTTTTAAATATTTTTTGTTGTTTGTCTGGGGGGAGGTTAAAACTCTCTCACACTTGGCCGCCGCGAATTTCATGGCGAATTCGCCAGGTTAGCAAATCGCAAAATCAGAAATCGCAAATCGCAAATCGCAAATCGTTGCGAATTTGTCAATTTGTGCAAATTTAGCGAATTTGACATTCAAAATATGAATTTCTGTTGCTGCCTTTTTGCACGTTGCACACGTTTTTTATGTTTTATGAGCAACAATAATAACAATTGGCCATCCCCCGCTCTGCCCCCTCTTCGCGCCAGCCCACTTCCCACACTACATTGTTTGCATTACGTGTGGAGTCAGGTACATAAAGGAGGAGTTCAACGGGGAGGCGTGGCTGGGGGGGCGGAGGTGACCACACCATGCACAGACACGAAGGGTGTTAAGAGTCATTGGGGTCCCCAGCGCGGCAGAAACGGCGAACAATTGAATTTGAACGCGTTTGCATAAATTTACTTTTGCAATTGTTGTTGTTGTTGTTGCTGCTGCTGTTGTTGATTGTATAAATAATTTATATTTTGGCAAAACTTTTTGCCATGCTCTGTGCCTTGCGCTTGACTAAGAGAGACAAATCGATGACTGTGCCTAATGCGATGGCCACGACTAGAAGCTGCCCTAGGTCTATGGCCAAATTTTGGGGGTTTACACTGAAGTGCAAGCGAGAGAGATGCAATCTTGGAGAATAATTAACGGAACTATGACTTAGATAATAGATAGAGGCATCAAGCGAAAGCTACCAAAGCAACAAATGAAGCACTTCAGCTTGATATATAGTAACGATGGTGTGACAAGTAAGACTAGGCTCTAGTCGGAAGTGTCCGACTAGTAAATACCCTGCATAAGCTGGGCCTTGCGCAGAGCTGCTACTTCCCACACTCTCAGCTTAAATTACATAACAAATAACACGTGCTAAAGCCCATGCACACACACACACACAGGCACACACACACACACATATACACTTTGTTTACTACGCACCATACGCAGCTGTTGCGCTTGGACTACCTGGGCTTCACAATGGGGGAAACTGAAGTGCTAGTTGGACTTTCTTAATGAAATTCTCAGAGTGGAATAATAACATCCAGGTGTTTATATGCGCCAAAGTACACAAATGCTATATTAAATAGGTTTCTTGGTGTTGAATGACACGGGGAAAGGTAACCAAAAAGCGACAATGTAATTTCAGAGTTTTCCCTCTTATATCTATATAAAGTTGTACTTCCGCTTCATATGCCCAGTTGTCATTGATATTCCGATTACAGGGTATGTGCAGTGAGGCAGTTAGCCAGCAGCAGAAAGACATTTGAAAACGAAAATCTCAGTCTGCTGCTTTCATTTACATTAATTGCAATTATTATCATATACATATTTTATTTATTTTTGCTGCAATCTAATCCTACTTCTTCTTCTTCTCGCTCTCTTTCTGCAGGGCTCACAACAATTGGCAAACGAGCTTTGCCTCCATTAACAAGTCGAATGATAACTCGCCGCAGACAAGCAAGAAGCAGCGAGATTGTGGAGAAACGGCACGCGATAGTCTGGCCTATTCGTGCCTATTGAAGAACGAGCTCCTTGGCTCGGCCATAGACGATGTGAAGACCGCCGGGGAGGAGCGCAACGAGAACTCCTATACGCCGGCGGCCAAGCGCAGCCTCTTCAAATATCAATCACCCACTAAGCAGGTAAGCTTTCCCCCCACATATACTCCGGTGCCCCCTCGAAAAAGTCCTCCCTCTCGCAGCTCTGCCCCTAGACTCGACCTGTCTCTGACTTTGGCAATTGTGAGATACTTTTGCAAATATTGCATTAATTGAGTTAGCTCTGTCGGCCTTATCATATATATATATGTATATATATACATATAGTATATGCGATTTTTTTGTTGTATTTTTTAATATTTAATTGAGACTTCTTTTGTAAGGTGGCGATGCGTCTGAGTGGACTACGAGTTGAATGCACTGCGGAGCAGGTCATGGACTCAATGTGTCTAGAGTCTAGAGTCTGCTTGAGACTCTGGGAAAATGTGTAGTGCTCAGAAAGATTTTGCAGTTATATATAGATTTATGTAAAACTAATATGAGTGAGAGTGAGAGACAGAATGTTTATGGAACTGCTAGGGAAAAGTCTTGATCAATCTTAATAGATAGTTCATGCTAAAGATTTGTTTCGAAATGTTTATTTAAAAAGATATTGACAAAACTGAAGTCAACTTAAAATTTGCTAAATATGTTCAAAAATACCATCAATTCTGTGAGAAATTTTACACTTCGGGTAGCTCTCTAAAACTTGAGAGAATATATGAGTGTTAAGAGTTTACATAAAATATAATACAATAAATACAAAAATAATAATAATAAAAATAAAAATAACAAAAAAGTATTCTAATTAAAGCTTCGCTATAATATTTAAAAAAAATAAAAAATAAAAAAAAATAGTATAATCAAATAAAAATAATTTAAAGATGGACTAATTAAAAATTCTCTATATTAAAAACTTCAAATAATATAATAAAATAAACATAAAAATAGAACAAAAATTATATAATGAAGTAAAACTAATAATAAAAAATATTCTAAATAATTTTTAATTAAAAATTAGCTATATTATAATATTAAAAACTAAAAAAAAATATAATAAAATAAAATTAATAATGAAAAATATTCTAAATATTATTTAATTAGAAATTCTCTATATTATAATATTCAAAAATTTGAAATATGCTAATATTCAGATATATAATTATTATGATATTCAAAATGTTAAAATATTATGATATATATTTCGTAAATTGGGCGGACAAACGATCGCATATCACAGATCACAGATCACAGATAAGCTGGAGCTGTCTTTGCTTTATTAAGCAGCTGACGCATAACTTTTGTATGTATGGGCGGCTGGGGTAGGCGTGGCAGCTACTGTCTAGCCTTTGTATGATCTGCGTACGTGTGGGCCAAATGTATTGG